TAAACCAAAAATATTAAAACTACGCAATTTGTTTCTATGAACAAATACCAAAAATATTCTGTACATATGCTCCCCGAACGTCTTTCAATTTTCTTTTCCTGTGACGCGAACATGAGATTCGATCGTCTTTCACTATGAACAAATACCAAAAATATACTGAACATATACTCCTGAAAGTCAAACACGATTATGCTCATCTATATAATATCTTTTCCATATTGAATATCCTGAAATTGTGCTCTAAAAATATGGAAGGTTGTTCATCTTACCCGTAACTGTTTTTAGGCATGTATGTAATTACTTTTTATCTCTTAAGTATTTACACACATTTATTAGTTTGAATGGTAATGTTGCAATTACTTAAAAAATGGTAAGTATACATAAAAATTTCCCTATATATACCTTATATAAATTAGGGTAAAGCCCTGATTTTGTTGAAGAAGATGAATTTGACATGGACGAGATGGAAATTAACAAAGATGGAAAGCAATGAACTGATTTAAAAAAAAAAATAAATGAACCGACCAAGTCGACATTTATGATAAAAAAAGGTCAAGGCTGAACAATAAGCTTCAAAATCTTGTGCAAAGACGAACATATGTTTTGTTTAGCATTAGAATAATTTAGGTATATGTTAATTTATTTTATAGTTAATATAATTTTAGTATATGTTTTGTTTTTATTTACATAACATTTATCCATCTAGAAAAAAAAAAAGAAGAGAAATGAATGGCTGAACCGACCATATCGACAATTATAAAGAAAAAAAAAAAAGGCCAAGCCTTAACGATGAGAGTCAAATCTCGTGCAAGATGGGATTTATAATAATTTCAGTATATATTGTTTTGCCAGCCAGTATATTTATGTTACATTTTTATTTACATAACATTTATTCGCACTGCCGCCGTCAATTTCTAGCCAAACATCACCATTATCCCTTTCTCCCGCCTTTGCCAAACTCGTCCGTTTACAAGAAGGGCGAGAAAACCGTTGTCTTGTACCGACTTAAGTCCTACTTCCACCGAATCGACTACCTCGACCCCGACCCCTCCACCAATCTCTCGGACGACCTCTTCAACAATGGCCTAGAGTCTGTTGTCTGCTCCTACCGCCACCATCGACTATCCGCTTATATATATATATATATATATATATATATTTGTGTGTGTGTGTGTGAGAGGGAGAGGGAGAGGAGAGAGAGAACATTGTTTATGGATAAATATTTTAATTAAGGTAAATTAATTAATGATAGGAAAGACATTGAGTTACAAAATTAAATTGTTAGTGTGTATAATAAAAAAATATTTAAAATAAAAAGATCAATATTAAATGGATGTAAAAGTAGGAGAGAGAATATCTGATGTGATGATTAGTTAGATTTATGTGAGTAGATGAATAGTGAATTAAGGTTGATGTTGTGTGTAAGAATGATT